TTTTTTTTTTTTTTTTTTTTTTTTGCTTTTACTTTCTCCCCATTTTCTTGGACCCACCCAACAAACTGATGTTTGTACCAGAGCTAATGTCCTTGTAGTCACTAATATCCATTAACAAAAAAATCATATGAACAGATTATGATTATCTTTGTGCTAACATTTCATTTTTCATCTATTTAGAATGACAGATTTATCAAGGTTTTTTTGGGGTTTTTTTACTATTTTTAAGCTAGTCAAAAATGTTAGCATTAGCCTTAAAACATTATATATCAAATCAGTGTGATTTATCACTTTTCTGGGGTCAACATATTCTATTAATGTCTTAAATACATAGAGAAGTGTATAAACACAGATGTAATCTATTATTCTGAATGTTAAATATGCACACATTCAAATATGCTTGAATGGAAACTTTTAATAATGTGGAATTAGGAAATATTCTTAGAAGACGACTAACTTCCTCAAAGACCTTAGGATACAGAATTATTTTTAAGCAGAGCTCTGCTTTGTGGGAAGTGAAAAGATTATGTATGTAAGTAAAAGATTATGCAAGCAAGGAAAACCTTTAAGTAAGAAAATTATTTTTTCTTTATCAATCCATATCACTCCTCTTGACTTTGTCTGAAACATAAATTTAGTGCCTTTTATACAAAATATACCCCAAATATTATACAGATTGCTAGAATTATGCTAGAAATTGTGGGGGAAATAATGACAAAAGGAACACCCAAAATATGCTTAAATTATATAATTATAGAATACATTATTTTTATACAAATGCACAATTATGAAGATGTACAGTGTTCAAGAAACTTTATTTTGTACGGCAAATGAGGCTCAAAGTACAAAATAGCGCAGAGTATTGACAGAAACAGAACTTGAGGTAACAAATGCAACTGGAAATATCTCAGCATCAGCAGAAATTAACTTGCAGTATTCCTAGCTGATGTCAAAATAATCTGTGTTGCTGATGCTTTCTTTAAAAGAATGAGGGAACCGGGCAGGTGTGGCTGAGCGGCTGAGCATGGACCTAGGATCCAGGAGATTTCAGTTCGATCCCCGGTCGGGGCACATGCCCAGGGCGTGCAGGAGGCAGCGATTAATGATGACTCTCATCGTGGATGCTTCAACTCTCTTTCCCTCTCCCTTCCTCTCTCTGAAATCAATAAAGATATATATTTTTTTAATTTTAAAAATAGGACGGAGGTGGAGAACCCATAGTGGACCCTACTTTAATTAAGAGAGCCATCAGGAAGAGGTGGCCACTTAACACGAAAGTAATTAAAGTATATATAATGTCACTTGTTTAACTTTTACAATGTCGTGAGGAAGTTGAATCCAGATGACCGCTCCATTTTCCATTCTTAGGAAAATCCAAGACTTTCAAACAAAAGCAGAAACATAAGCGAACCTAATCCATAAGCCCCGTCTAAGGGACAGAATCTTCCTATTTCATCCCTCGGATGAATCGGGCTCTGACCCTCTCTGGCCTAGCCTGTAAGGTTAATGTATTTTCTTTCGAAATTTCTTCCTTCCTGCAGCTCTTGCATAGTGACATTTCACTTTTTAATGTTTCAAGCCAAGTAACCATTTAAAAAAAAAAAATCTGCTGAATTTCAAACAATTTTATTCTCTGTTTTCTCTTTCAGGAAGTTGATGGCAATAAAGTTATGTCTTCATTTGCCCCACACAACTCATCTACCTCACCTCAGAAGGCAGACGAAGGTGGGCGACAGAGTGGCGAGTCCTTGTCGAGCACAGCCCTGGGCACTCCCGAGCGGCGCAAAGGCAGCTTGGCTGACGTTGTTGACACCTTGAAGCAGAGGAAAATGGAAGAGCTCATCAAGAACGAGCCCGAAGGTAAGGGCTGGGACGGAGTTGCTGCCGTCTCCTTATTTTAATAGTTTCACTTGAACCCCTAGTTCTGGTTTTTGACTTGACCTCTCTAAGTTCAACTGGACAAAAGAGAAACCTAATGCTACGAAGATGGGTGCTATTATTTTTTCAGAAACATTTAAATATGGCTCTTCCAATTTTTTTTAATCATTAATTTCTGCAGTGGTGTCTCATATTCATGCATGAGTAAGTTGTGGCTGAGTAAAATCCAGATTTAAGAACAGAATGTGGCATATTAAGGGCCTCTTATGTGTGAGGCCTGGGTTTCGAGGTGAATGGGAAGTAGTTCTAGCCAGGAGGGGCTCCCCAGCTAGGAGGAAGGAGAGAGCACTTTGTACCTGGAGTGGCTTCCTCTGTGTTCTCCAGGTGCTATTAGAGACGTGTCTTGCTTTGGCACAGACGTTGAGTACTTGGTCCATCAAGCAACCTGATCGATATGCATCCATTTCTCTTTCACTCCCCTATGGTCAAGGAGCCTGGAATTGCAAAACACAGTGGTGAATTGCTTATAATATGATGCAGGTGATGCCAATAATCAATTATTATTTATCAAATGTGTTGTGTGGTTTCACATTAGTTAAATGAGCACTAATAAAATATTAAATTAGAACTGCTTATAAAAATGTTTTACTATTAAAAAAAGAAATGTAGCACAGAGCCCAAAAGGCCATCATGCAACTTTGTTACATTTTATAACCTTCACATATCAATGCATCTTATACTACCTTGATAATTAAGACAGTTTCTTGTATGGTCCACAATTATTATGGCTAGGCCTACTGTATATTTGAAAAGTAGTGATTCTCTAACTCTGTTCATTATCCCGAACTCCCATTTGTTCAACTTACAGGATTTCATCTTCTAAATCTCTTTATAGTTACTGAGAGTAGCTGTCTGGTCATGGATTAATCTTAAAATTAAAGCAAACAAACTAATAAGACAACTGATGCAAGTTAGATAATTTTATGCATAACTGACAGTGATACTTTATGTTACAGATGTCTACTAAATCCTATTTAAACCTATGTCCATCCAAAGCTTGGATACCACATTGCACATAAGAACATGCCTCCTATTTCAGAGTCAGAAGGAAAATTAAAACAAACAAACAAAAAACAGGGACATAAAAAGACATTCTTTATACCAAAAATATACTGCATTTATACTACGTAACACTGAATTAGACTCATTTCTATTCTGTTGTTAGGAAACTGGTAAATTGTAAGTATATCTGGCACAAAGTGAATGTTAACCAGTATATTTGGGAGTCATGTGGTAATTAAAATTTCTGGGTCTCTACCAGATGCATAGTTGGGACATGGATTTTAGTTAAAATTTATATAATTCACATGATCTTATAGTTGGAAGGCATTTTAGAGATAATCTAGTCAGTCAAAGACTTTTTGGCTCCCATCTGCATGGAGATAAAAATGGGATTTTGGGGAGGACCCAGACAACTTTATTTTTTTTTAAATATCCTGGAATTTTTTTCTGATATTAAAAATACTTGTCTTACTATAAGAATTGTTTAAAAAAATTAAAAGGAAGAAAATAAAAATCACCCAAAACCGTAGCAGTTCCACGTGTCTCCTTGGACTCGGTTTTGGCTGTCGCAGTTTCTCAGACTGTTTTTGTTTGATAACCTTAAAAGTTTTGAGGAATACTGTTCAGATATATTGTAGAAGGCACTTCTACTGGAATTTGCCTGGTGATTTTTCTCTTAATTAAACTGGGGTTATGGTTTAGGGAGGAAGATCATAGAAGTAGAGTACTATTAAAAAGCATTAAAAAGTACATCACATCAACAGTACATACTTTCTCTGTGACTTATGAATGTTGATGATGACCTTGGGCAACTGGCTGATATGGTGTTTGTCAGGTTTCTGCACTGTGGAGCCTCCTGGGCCCCTTTCTGTACCATCCTCTGGAAGGGGGGTGCTCTGTGCAGCCCACATTTTAGGAGTAGGGAGCTGTGCTCCCCCTCTTTAGAGTGGAGTATCTACATAACTTATTTGAAATCCTTCTCCATCAGAGATTTATCTCTTCTCTGCCATTTACTGATTTTATTCAATTATTTATTTATATAAGTATGAACTTGTAGATATTGATTGTATACTTTGAGTTATAATACAATTCTACTTTATTTTCTTGCTCAAATTGTTCAGCTTCAGCCATTGGAAGCACTTTCTGTTGACTTCTGTGTCACTTTGGCATAGCTATGATTGTGGGTGTTTTTTTAAAATAATTACTTTCTGGCACTATAAGATGCTGCAGACTCATTTCGTGTGTTCCCTGTTCCAGGTCTGTAGGTTTTCATGTAATGTATTTATCTGATTTTGATATTAGGACAATACTGGCTTCATAGAATTAGTTAGGACATGTTTCTCTCACCTGTAAATTTTTAATTTTGTTTGAGATGTGTTTCTGGTCCAGGACTAAGGCCTAGAAAGAACCAGGAACGCTGTGGAATATATTGTATTACAAGGTGGTTTGGGGCGGTTACCTTTAGATAAGGTCCTACGTGGAGATTTGGTACATGACCTTGGTGTTCCCCAGGTGGGGCAGGTTGGCTTCTTTCAAAGTGGATGCACGGATGTTTAATTTGGAAGTTTATGACACGGCAAAACCAAATGAATCATTCATTATAGGAAGGAGGGAAGGAGACGGTGTCCCCCAATTTGCTTAGTAGGAGATACTCAGAGGTACTGGGAATTAGGAGAAAATGATAATATTTAGAAATAGCTACACAGGCAAAAGGAGACATAGAGCACCCACAGAAGGAAGAGCTGACACAAAGGAACATCACTCTTGCATGTGTACATTAGATTGTGTTCGTTATTGTATTTCCCATAACTTTTTTTTTATACTTTTCCCCCTATAAATATAATAAAAGCTCAGCTCGAGAGTTACTTGTTATTGAGTAATATAAAGATATTAAGAAAATACGGAGACAGTCTTTATGGAACCTGGAATATAAGTTGAACACGGCAAGCGTCTGAAAGCCTGAGTTCCGTAAAGATAAATTCAGAGCCACGAAGATACATTTTATAAGTACACAAGGTTCTTATGAACATTATACACAAATATGTAAATAGACTCACTTTTATTGATAAAGGTATTTGCCGTGGCAAGGATGTTTATTTGATAACTGTGACAATGGGGAGATTTACCAAAGGAGCAACTTAATATATTTGAGTAAAGTGATGATCTTAATCACCAAGAAAAGAATACTAATAGCACAGCAGAAAATAGTTCCATAGAAAAGGGATAAGATGTTGAAGGAAATGCCCTTTTTTTTTAACTGCAAAGAGAGAAATATGGGGAAATCTATCTGGGAAGATGTGTAGAAGTCTCAGCAGCAAGTGGAAAGTGGTACAGGCTTTAAAGAGACTGTTAAAATGTATGGTCGGATGTGAGGGGACAGAGAAACCTGGCCTCACTCAGGCATCAGGACAGGGACACTGGGCCCGGTACAGACAAATGAGCCGTAGCTCTGTGAGGTCCAGGAGCATCAAAAGAAAAAAACAATAACTTAGGAATAAATTTAACAAAAGACCTGCAAAATGTATATTCAAAAAACTACGAAACATTATAGGTCTCTGATGAGAGCAGCTTATATGGGGTGAGGGGAGCAGAGATAGGGCGAATGGAGCTAAATGTTAAGCTCACTAATATATGCCACAGAAAAATCTTTTCTTCCCTCAAGCTATATTTTCCATTGTTTTTCAAAGGCCATTAAAATGAACAGCAGGTTGTGATGAAAATTTCATTAAGTCATTAAGGCCCAGCTACATCATTATGAGGGTGCCATATTCATGCCTCTCCTTCCTCTCATTGAGCCTTTGAGCGGGGAAAACAGATTTCAATAGAAAGTCCGTATTATTTCCGACCTGATCCCTGCCAACAGCAAACTCACAGAAATTCAGAAGTTACAAGAGAATGGTGTGTCATACAAAAGGAGGCCACTGGGGTGAAATGGTTAGAAAGAAAATGAGATTTGCAGATGGGCTGAGGAGAAAAATGGCTCTTTGATTCCAGCTAGCTTATTTTTTCAATCAATTAATCAAAATATTTTAAAAGTTGCAAGTAGGGGGAATATATGTTGACGTATTTTTATTTTGTGTCTTTTTCCTCCATCTGAATTTTTGCCTGGCATTTCTCAAAAGGGTCTAGTGCTAAAGATGGGTATTTGCCCAATGTGCCACTTAACTGACTTGGAACTTGCCAAAGTTCATAGTAAATTCAAACTTCAAAATATCTGGCTGCTCTAATATGGTTACATTCTATGTGGTAGTAACTATGCTATATCAGTTTATTTTTTTGCATTGATTTTCAGAGAGAGAGTAAGGGAAAGGAAGAGAGAGTGAAAAACGTGGAAGCGAGAGCCATACATCAATCGCTGCCTCCTGCACGCCCCCTGCAGGGGGCTGAGCCTGAAACCCAGGCCTGTGCCCGACTGGGAATGGAGCCGGCAACCTCTCGGCGCACCCGCGACACCCAACCAACTTGGCCGCGCTGGCCGGGCTGTATCAGTTGATTTTTAACCAGCAGGCCTTGAGGTTAAGAATGACCATGAGTTTTAATAATATGTGACACATAATTCCTAGGTCAAACATTGAATAAATAATTATGTATTAGGGGGAAAGGGTAGCATTTATTCAGTGCATATCATGTTTTAACTATAGTGTTATGTAATTTATATGAAACACTTTATTTAATTTTTATAGAAACCTAATAACCAGGGCTACTATGTAAAGCCATTCCAAGTTCAGGAAGTGCCAAATGCATGAATTAAATATTCTGATTCTTATTATCTCCATTTTCAGATGAGGAAACTAATGATTAAATATGTCACAGGATGACTGTCAAGGTCATCATTCAAAATGAAGTCAAACTTAAACTGGAATCCATGACCTTAATCACCAGTTATACTATTTCTTCCAATTAGGAATTTTGCCAGTAAT